CCCCCCCCCCCCCCCCCGCGCCCAGCCCCGCCCCTCTAACAAGCTCCCGAAGGGCGAGGGAATGGTCCCCCCGCCCCCCGCCGGGGGGGGGGGGGAATGTTCCAAAGGGTGGGAGCAACAGTATACAGTTCAACCTAACAATTACCAGCCAAAAAGAGTCTTCTGATTTTTTTTTCTCTGCTCAGGTGACATTACCTGTTTCTTCTGGTTGCTGGAGGTAGAGGATTAAAGACCAAGCTTTTTGAAAGTGAATGGAAGGACTTTGAAGTGAACTTATTTGATCAGGGTTAAAATATATACAGTGGTACCTCGGGTCACAAACTTAATTTGTTCCGCGACTCTGGTCGCGACCCGAATTGGTTGCGACCCGAATCAAATTTTCCCATAAGGTTCAATGTAAATATGGTTAATCCGTTCTGACCCCTACAAATTTGGTTGCCAACCGATTTTGGTTGCGACCTGAATCAAATTTTCCCATAAGGTTCAATGTAAATATGGTTAATCCGTTCTGACCCCTACAAATTTGGTTGCCAACCGATTTTGGTTGCGACCTGAATCAAATTTTCCCATAAGGTTCAATGTAAATATGGTTAATCCGTTCTGACCCCTACAAATTTGGTTGCCAACCGATTTTGGTTGCGACCTGAATCAAATTTTCCCATAAGGTTCAATGTAAATACGGTTAATCCGTTCTGAACCATATGTATTTTTTTTTTAAACCACAAAAATATGACAAAGTACAGTACAGTACACTATGAAGAGAGGGAATGGTAACCTTGCTTGAGGTGTGGAGGACAGGAAGGCGGGTGGGGAGGTGGTTATTGTTTGGAGGGAGTCCCCCTCCCTACAGGAAGCCATGACCACATGTGCCAGCAGGGAAAATGGCCGCGGATCCTGCTCGCCACCTGTCGCGGTGTCTGCGAACGGAACTAAAATTTTGCGAATGGCGATGATTGTTACCTGATTTGGTCATGAACAAAAGCGTTCGTGACCCGAGGTACCACTGTATTGTGGTTTCTGGTAGCTGTTAATGGAATTTCTTTACGAGCAGGACAATGCTTTTTTTTGCTTACAACAGGGGGGAGTTTTGCTTTATCTCTTAGAGAAAGTGGTACGTTGGAGCACAAAATGGATTTATTTCATTAAGGCTAAAATATACATAGCATTATTATTTCTGGTAGCTCTTTATGGACTTTTGCTGAATAGAACTGAAGGATGAGTTTCTATAATTTATTGATAAGAGATGAGTTATGGTAAGAGATCTTTTCTAATTACTGAAATACTGTAGAAGGTGTTAAGTTATGGGAGTTGTTTATACTTGTCTGGAGGGAGGGGGAGTCATTTTTATATTTCTTTTTTTTCTCTCTGGACTTTTTCTTTTCCTTTTTATATTTCTCTTAGTTTGTATTGCTCTTTTATCACTGTATCTGTAAACTTTAATAAAATTATTAGAGAGAGAGAGAGAGAGAGAGAGAGAGAGAGAGAGAGAAGGTAGGTAGGTGTGATGGGATTTTCCTTCTAGGTTAATCTTAAAAGATATAGGAAGCCCTCACAGGAGTGGAGTTAAGCTATGAGAAGAAAAAGCTTAGCCTGCTTTTACACTAGTAAGTTCACCACAGAGCAATAAACAACGGCATTTGCTGAGCTGTGCACACCAAAGTGGTCTGCTGTAGAAGCTGATGAAACAGTTGGCAACCATTCTGGCAATCAGAATGCAGAAAAAGTTGCACGGGAAGATTTTCATGGCATTTCAGTACAGCAGTGTAACACGGCAGATGCTTGTAAAAACCAATCCAGTACTATTTGGCACTATAGAAATAAGCTGATTTTTACCCAGTATTAAATAGTTATGCTCCAAAATAAGCATGAGTTTCTTTAACTCTCTTGGTTACTTACCTTTCTGGAACAATGAAACAGCAAACTCTCAAGTACATTTAACCACTTTTACAGTATCTGCAGTTAAAAGTTAATTCTTTTTTTTAACCTCTTATGTCTTCAGCAGAACTCTACAGGTAATAATGCTAATTCTCACAAAAGCAAAAAGCTCCATTTATTGATTTGCTCAGGTTCTATAAGTTGCTCAGGCTCCCTATCCCCAACGTTCGTACAGGTAGTCCTCGCCTCCCAACCACAATTGGGACCGGAATCTTGATTGAGTGAAATGGTTGTTAATTGAGACGCCCACATGACTGCTTTGCTCCACAACCACAATCCAGGCATTCCTGGTTGTGGTTGTTAAGCAGACGGAGTGAAAGAGCTGCCTGCTGGATTTCAGCTCCGCGCAGAGCTGAAATTCTCCCAGCAGGCAGCCCTTTCACTCTCAAACATTCCTGCAGCCTGCCAAAGGGTTTGCTCTCCCCTCCATGGACAGAGGGGAAATCCTTTGTGGAGTTGGAGGAATGGAGCAAAAATCGTCAGGATTTGAGCTCCGTTCCCACACACCACTGAGAGATTTCTCTCTGTCCCCTCCACTTGCAACCTTCCCTGTTGGCTTCCCCACTGACTGTCTGGGGAAGCCAGCAGAGAAGATTGCAAATGGCAATTACATGATCATGGGGCGCTTGGCAACCAGCCATAAATGCGAGCTGGTTGCCAAGTGCCCAGAATGCGGCCATGTGACCGCGAGAGGGGGCGACATGTTTTACAATGGCCAGAAGTGTTTTATGAGTCATAAAGCACCCTTTCTGAGGCTGTTATAACTTTGAACCATCATTAAATGAATGGTTGTTAAGCGAGGACTACCTGTATCTTGCTACATTTGGGTTTGTGTAAAAAAAAAAAATTGCTTTGATTGTCTTTACTTCTGTTAGCATGTTATTTTTAAAAAAATAAACAAAGCCTTTTCTTATGGACTGTCCTGGATTAAAAGGAAGTATTCAACTAATTTGAAGACTGTTTCTGGTCTCAGTGAAATCTGACTGTTAGGTTCATTTTTGTCCATTCAACTCAATCAGAACAAGAAGCAAATCCTGTTCTTTGCAGATTTCCTGATGGGGTTCACAGGGATAGAAATTAGCAGCGTGTTTGGAAATCTTGCATGGTACAGCCTACCCAGGATCGTACCATTTCAGAATGCATGAAGGGGTGCATGTATATGAATGTTTTCCTAGGTGGAAACAAGTTTAGGATGCAGCTTTCCAATGTGTGATTTTTCTTCTCCTGCAATCTGAGATGGTACCTTCCTGGAAGGATCTTCCAGATGCTACTTCTAAATGTGTGACTTGGCTCCCGTCATTCTGCTTTGAAAGGAAACAATCTAGCTCATATCAGCTATTTTGCCTTATCCTTTACACTTTGCTACACTCAAAGTCAGTTGCAAATGCAACCCATACCAGAGTGGCAACACCCACATGGTGGTACAGGCTGAATCACTTGTCACCATGTAGTTCTCACTGTATGCTTCTTGTTAGGTGCATGGATTCCATGCATATGATCAACAGAAGTTTGCTGAAATAGGCCAAATACAACTGTCCCCTTCCAACCAAAAAAACAAAGTCACTGGAACACCATTCATGGACCTAAACAGCTTGTTGGAATTTCTCTATCCGTAACATGCTAACCATTCCTTGTGGAGTTTGGATGATGGGAACTCGAAATGGCCTCACTGGTGAACTGGTCAGCAGAGAAACTGTATATTTGGTCCAACTCTGTAAAATGCAATTCTTTGCATTTAAACCACTTCTTACTTTAAAAGCAGAACCTGCCACGTCTTTCACAATCTCTTTCTGGATAACTAGTTATTCTCTCATTTTTTCTTCCCTTTAAGAGATCAGGAAGGCTCCAAAGAAGCTGGCTTCTTTATCCATGTCCACCAGCTCCTCATAGCTGATGGAGACAAAAATCCTGTCGTTTCTCTTTAACTGAAACACTCCACCCTGGTATATGGAATACAGTCCATATCCTGCTTTTTTAGACCAACAACTGGTTCTTGCACTTTTCATCAGCAGAATGGCTTCTGGGTAATAATCTGTAATCTTGGAAATGTACTGGACCATTTGCTTTGGATTCCTAACACTGTCCGAGTCAGGATCTGCACTGAGTTCAGCATCTTCTGATTCTCGGAACCGAAAATAAGTCTGTGAGTAGATGTAATAAAGTCCAGCTTGCTGTATGATCAGTTCCCCATTGTTCAGCAATACATTGTAGAGAAAGGAAGGATCCGCTGAGGATTGCCAAGAGATTATTTTGAATCCCAAATTGTTTCTCATAGGAGAATCTATGATTGATTGAAAAAGACAGAAAATATTTTAGGCATGTAAAATACTAAATATATCCCACATCTCTTTTTTAAAGATGAATAATTTTGCATCTTCTTGGCAGCCTTTACTCCAATAATCTATAACCCCCCCCCCAACACCCATACATTCTTCCCATCCATGTACGATCACCATCCATATGGATTAAGGAAAGTGTCCCATATTATTGTTGTCATATATGCTGCACAATGGAATGTTTCTATCAAGGCTTTTGGCCAGCTCTCTTCCAGGACTCTGTTTGCAGACTTTCCCAATGCGGTGCTCTGAAGATAAGTTGCAACTTCAACTTCCAGAATTCCCTGCCAGCATGGCCATCTGACACAATGCAAGCCATTAGAATGAGAAAGTGGGACTTGCCACTTCTTCTCCAGGCTTGGTACTAGGTCCTATATTCCTGGCCATGTCCCATGGCCAGAACATACTCACTTCTCTTCATTGGCTGCTTTGGATTCACATTTGAGTTTTCCCTGAGAAACTCTTTGTCTTGCACGCAGATATGATTTGGTTTGGGTTACATAAAGGTTGCATGCAGAGAATGTGAGTGCTTTTGAAAAATGATGCATTTATATCCCACGTAGAGGGTTTGCCATCACTGAAAATGCAATACAAGTAGTAGCCAAATTATACATCAGGAACAAATGTCTGTCTGTCTGTCTACCTAGCTACACATTTATTTGTGTAGGGAACATTAAATAATTAACACTATCTAGCAAAAGATTATAATGGGCTGGACCCAAACTCTCATATTTACCACTTGATCAAGTGAAATCATTATGACTTAAAATAGGCCTAATTAACTTCCACTCCACTGATTTTAATGCAAATTGATTTAACTGAAAGAGTTATGTTCATCTAGTCCAGATTTCACAAGCCCTAAGTCACAGGAAAATAGGCTGCACGTCCACTAATCATTATTTCAGGTCAACAGAATGCTACTAAATTCATCCATTCTATTTTTAGTTTTAGAACATGAAAATGTTCAGTTCACTTTGCAGAGAAACCAGAATGGTGGGCTCTCAGGATATTGGGCTTCTGAGCTTCTGAGCTGAGTTTGTTAACTATTCTTCTGCGAACCCTACAAATTTCCTGCTAGGATTGGTCTTTGGGTATGTCCCTCCTTCTTAATGTATGAACCTGGTCTTGATTTATTTATCACATTTGCAAAGTGTGCGAAGGCAACCCCCAGTGGATAAACGGGGAAACCCAAAAGCCTGGTTGTTGTGCTAAACAGGCACACACGCACCCCCTTTAGAAGTGTTCTTCTCCCTCTCTCACAATGTTAGAACGCAGGACCATCCATTGAAACAAAACACAAGAGATTCAGGACCAAGAGAAGGAAATACTTTTTCATAGAGCAAACAGTTAACTGTAGAGTTTGCTGCCAGCAACTGTGCAACAGCAGCCAATTTGGATGATTTTAAAATGGAAAAGCCACCTCTCGCTCTCTGCAGTTTACCGCCTCCTGAATCATGGTTCTTGGGAAGTATCAGTGGAACAGGGCTCATCCCCTCCAGTCCAGGTTTGTGAACTACCCAAACACATCCAAAGTTGGCCACCATGGGAGACAGAATACTGGTCAAGGGCTCAATCCAGTGGATTTGTTCTGATGTTCTTAGTGATAGCTTAGGCTGTCCATAAAACAGAAATCACTGGATGCAGATATGGATCTGCTCTGGAGGCATCTTGTTCCTCTCTTTGGCAGAGTGTGGTCACTTGCCACTGTGGTCTGTTCTGCATTGCAGTCACTGAATGGGGAAGAGGTGAGGCCATGGCTGCAGGATTGGGTCTGGAAACAGGCTTGTTCCTGCCCTTCCTTTAGCAACCTAATGAGGCCCAAAGAGACAAGTGGGGCTGGAGCTGCACATGCTGAAGAGCAGGATAGAAGACAGCTCTTCATCATCTCCAACAGACAAGATTTCCATTCCTACCTAGGGAAAGGAATGTCCCATCTTGGGATGGGACTGCCTGGTCCAGCTATGCCCCAATTTGCTGGGTTCTAGTTGACTAAAAAATGGGGATGTCAGGGTTGCTGTGTAATTGTCAGCTTCTCCTCTTCCTTATAAGCAAAAGGCACTGTCAAAGGCATTGTCAAGTTTGATTCCTGGTGACTACTACAGACACAACAAAGTGCTTTACTGACAACAATGTGAAAGTGGTTTCCCACTGCCTTTGCCTGAAATGTTTTTTGACTTCCCACTCCAGCCTACAACGATGGGAAAGGTGCTTACCTTAAATCTCCCATCCGACCATTAACCAGGCCCTACCCTGAAGCTCAAACAAGTGCTGCCACCTACCACAAAGGAAATAAATCCACTGATCCACGTATTAGCCACTTTCCCCAGAATAAGGCATTGTCTTACTTTGTGCAACTAAAGCTTTCCTCGCATTTCTGCTTGAAGTGAGATGAGCTGCGACTCGGGGAGCAGAATTCCTAGGCACATCTCTTGCAATGGCACCTGAAGAAATGCTGTCTGGATATAAAGAAATGCCAACATTTAATTTCCTATCTAGAACTACTAAGGGGATAAAACAGAGTTTTGTTCAGAAGGTCCTTCCAGGTTCAGTTTCAAAAAAAGATATGAATGATGAGAAAGGTGTTCACCTGAAATCCTGGCACACAGCTACATATTACAGGACAGAATGGAATCATGACCAGCTTCCACAGATACATGGATGCTTTATTATGTTGGTTATATAAGAGATAGGAAGCTCCCTTGGAGCAGGACAGACTAAAAGAGGGCATTAAAATACTACAGTGTAAAAAAGGCACAGCACAAAAGAAAAATCCAGCATGGGTGCAGTAAGAAAATGAGAGATTTCTAGCACTTTAGGGAATTAATTAAAATGGAAACCATTGAAAGAAAAGAGGAACCCAGTGGAATTGATCTTTCAGCAAAGATGATGGCTTGGTCCTTCTTTCCACCTCCCCCACTATTGTAGTTGAGGAGATGTATCTACACATATACTCTGATAACCAGCTTCTCCTCAGGAGCACTGGTAGACGCTTGTCCCATCACTGGGAGACTGAACCTCAGACCTTCTGCAAATAAAAATGTGCTCTGCCCCTCCACTGTGGCCTCCATAAATGTTGCTATCTCTTTATCCACTTATGGCTAATGCAGGAAGGACCAGTTCAATTTAAACTTTCTCTTAAACATACAAGTGCCTCCTAGAGCCAATGTTCCATGTTCAGTTTCTTTAAATAATTTAGATTAAATAATCTGGTTTTTAATTAATGTTTCATTCATTTCCTCAATGCAACAACACAGCCATTCATACATCATAAACTTTCGCTGCATGATCTTTGCCCAATATAAATATAAACAGCATCAGTACCTTTTGTTGAAGATGTTATTTCTTCTGCACGGTTCTTAGCCATCATCTGCAATTGTAAATATAATTAATTAGCTTTTTTCCTCCTTGGGGTATTAGAATGTAGTAGATTTTCCAGAGCACTGGATTTATTTCCTTCCAGCTCCCCCAAAACCTGTTTCCGTGATGACTCTGCTAAGGAACCTTTTCCCTTGAGGAAGGGAGAGGGAGCCAGTATTGTGGACACGTATATTAGCCAATTATGCACATGTATTTAAGGCTAAATTCTTCTAACCAGAGAAGTTGGTTCAGCCATCACCACTTATTGGATAATCTTGAGCATTGTGGTGCTGTCCCAATGTTTAGTTTACCTGTTCCAAACAGAGCACAATCTCTAAGATAGCTCTAAGTCTGTCATATTTCATATAGTTATCGACAACTTTAAAAAAAGGGGGGTGGGAAACCATGCTCATATCCTTAGCTCCCTCCCTGGAGAAGCTCACATTTGCAACAGTAATAAACACATCGCCTACAACACTTTTCCCTATCAAAATACATCACAAGAGCATTAAAGCTCTGAAAGTCCTTTAAAGTGGGCAGTAGCCAAGCCATGTTATAAAGATTTCAGGACTGTCATTGTGTACTTATTTATTAATGAATTATTACTATTAACTATTCTTCTATTTTTCAGAATCCAATAAATAAACAAAACCTCAAACCAGGGGGCATTTCAAAACTGTCTCTGACAAATTAAAACAATTGAACTATAAAGAAATTAAGAAAAGTGTCTTAAAAAGGTGTAACATGATGAAAACAGGAAGAGCTTAAAAAACTAAGATGCAGCACAAACTTTAAGATGTACCACTTTAACTGAATGTTTGTGAAGTTTGGTATCAATAATTCTGAACAAGACAGGAATGATGCAGCCCAGACATTTACAGTGAAAATGCCTTATTTTTGGTGATGGAGTTACAAGGTATTAACCAGGAATGTAACATTCACAACCATTTCACACATACATAGAGGCAAAAGGAGGTTGGTTTGATAACCCTGGAACATTTGATTGCAAATGTCGCTCCTTCCATCTGCTTTTTAAACTTTTAAGTACATACTTCAGAAGGTTCAGACTCATTACAGAGAAGCAGCAGAAACTGTAAGTTTTGGAAAAGAGTAAAATCCTTGAGACCATGTCCCCATTTCACACAACAGATACTGGTATTTAAAAAGGAGCACCTTTCTAATGAGCCTTGAGAGTTGTTGTTTGACCTCCCAGCAGGGATCGTCATCTTCTTTATCATTTGGATCCAGATCTTCTAGGAAAAAATTTTCTCTGGTGAAGCAGGCAATGCTACTCTTCGCATATGTGTCTCGGAGCTGTGTTAGAGAACAATGGGGGAAGCCAAGTGTTAATTCAATGAATGCAACTGTAGAGACTGAAAGACATACAGTATGAACAGTAAATGAGTATCAGCAATATTTATTTTTGATGCAACATTTGAATATAAAAAACACAACAAGCCCTTTTGTGGTCAGTATTGCACTGCTAGAGAATCGCAGCTTACATTTTAAACATACTTCATGATACTTATCAGGCCTCTTGTAGCAGGAAGCTTGACACCCAACCCACCCAACTCACTCTGCTCAGACTGGCAGCAGAGAATAACAGATTGAATCAGGGGCTTTCCCTCTGCAAAGTTCATACTCCAACTATGAGATAGTCATTTACAAACCTTTGGATGGGGATTTCAGCATAGTATCATCTATCAACCCTGGTGATTTTGTTGAAATTCCCAAGTTGTCATAAAGCTCTCAACCATTATCTGATTTTCAAACAGGCTTACACATGTCTGATCAGAAGTAAACCATACTGTGTTATATCAGACTTGGTCACAGATAAGTACGTGCAGACTAACTCCAAGGTAGATCTAATTAAACCAAGTATGTGACTTGGGAGCTTCCAGTTGATTTAGACGTCAATTGTCATTAATTCCAGTCTCCATGACAATGGCAAGGATTCTGAGAATTGAAGTCCAAAACTATAGAACTACACTAATAATTCCCACTGGAAGAGGAATTCGGAATAGACCTGTCTCAGATTGCAGTCTTTGTGTGTTAATGTTTTTATGGGTTGTTCCAGAATGGTGTCAAATCCATTTGAAAAATAAATGACTAAATATAATTTTTTGTATTTGTGTTAAGTTTATTAAGCTACCTTAAGATACACAAGAGGCAGAAAAAAACATAGGAAAGAAAGATATTATAAGATACATCAGAATGGGAATTCCCCACCCCAAAGGTCTTAACAAATGAAAAGCAAATTTATTCATAGAACAATATAATTATAATGCAACTGAACAAAAACAGTGTGGTCCAGAACAAGGAGTCCAATGAAAAACAAAACCAAGTTGAACAAAACAAGGAAGCCTTATTTTCCCTCCATCTACCGTTTTCCCCACAACCATGTCAGAATGACAAAATAGTTTTCCATTATAGAGAAGGATAACCATCTTTATAAACAGTTATTAGAGTACAAAAATCTCTCTTGCAGGATAGAAGCATCGATCTCCCATGGATTTGTACATGCTGAGTCTTTGAAACATCTTGATATGTAGTTCGATCACAAAAGTTGAAGTCTCAATCCCATCAAACTGTCCTGATGGACAAATTATTGAATTTATGAGGATATTTAGGCCACCTCGGTCAAAGATGGACAGCTGACAGCTGTTTGTGGCTCTTGCAATAACCTTCTGCAGATCCTATTACCTATGGCTCAGTTTCTTGTTGAATTTGTATGGTAGGTTTTCTACTGAAATTCACTGGAAAAATGCTACTTTAAGAACTGCAACATTAAAGGTGAGAGTGGGCTAAAAAGGTAATACATTTTTCTCCTATCTCCAACTATTTTTTCATCTGACCCTGCCTATTTTTTGGGGTTTTGCATTACATTTGGAACAGCTGTTCCATAATTACTGAAAGCATTCTGCCTATTTTGGAAAGTATTCTAAACTCCAAACTCTTTCCAGAATGAAAGTGCCGAAACACTTCCAATAAGTTCAGAACAGCAAGTCTTGAATTCAAGGCAACTGTTTGAACCTTGAAATGTTTTGCACTTGTTTTTTAATGCAGACCTGGCACATCATTTAAATTCCAGCTCTTGATCTAAAAATAATCTTAAAATAATTAGCTGTTCTGAACAACTGATTGGTTCAAAATAGGGAAAGGAGTACGACAAGGCTGTATACTGTCACCCTCGTGTCTTTTAACTTTAAACTTATAGCGACAAGGTAC